GCACCCTGACCTGGGTTCCCGACGTAAAGGTCGTTGTGGATCCCAGTCGCGGTGCGCCTAGCCACCACAACCCGGAGCACAGAGTGGTCGTCGCCGAGGCAAGCTAGGTCAATGTCGATGACGGTACCCAGTTTGCGGAAGCCGGCCGGGATCCCCTCCAGGTCCCAGTGCTCCTCCGGGAAGTCAACAGCCGAGACCGCCATGAGCCATTTCTGCTCGATGGTGAAGCGGTTGGACGTCTCCTCCACGTGCTCCAAGGTGAGGCGAGCGCCGTCGTGAGTGATGGGGCTGAGGCCAACCGTGGGCGCACAAATCGAGAAATGGTATGAAGTCACATCTGAATAGATACAGATAGGAAACAAACGAAAATTGGAGTTATTTTTCCACAACCACCAACAGGACTAGGTCCGTTCGGCTTGCTGAAAAATACTGTTCTGGTTGAAAAATATTGTTCTTGCTAAATTATTGTGAGAAAAAAATACGGTTTCGGCTAAAAAAAAAAGCTGAATAAGCCGGCTTCTGGATAAGCCGGGGCACAACTCTACAAGAGATGGGGAGAAATTCAACACTTCAGCTGGTAGTCACCAAGGGAAAGAATCGTTAACGTCGCTATGATTGCTATATAACATGACCTAAGAGAAACTGAGAAACCCAATCTTTTCTTCATCAGTACTAGTAGTCATCACTCAGCAGACTGCAGTGCAGAGCAGGACAAGATGTTTCCTTACGTACTCGCGGCCGCCGGCGTGCTTATCGTCTTCCTCTATGCCGTCAAGAACCGTCGAGGCAGCAAGCTCCCGCCATCACCTCCGTCGCTGCCGCTGATCGGTCACCTCCACCTCATCGGCCGCCTCGCGCACCGCTCCCTGCGCGAGCTGCAAATTCGCTACGGCGGGAGCGGTGGCCTCCTCTACCTGCAGCTCGGGCGCAGGCGGACCTTGGTGGTGTCCACTGCCGCGGCGGCAGCGGATTTGTTCAGGAACCACGACCTCGCCTTCGCCTCCCGCCCGCACAGCGTGTCAGGTGACGAGATGATGTATGGCTGCAACAACGTGTCGTTCGCGCCATATGGCGGGAACTGGCGCCGGGGCAAGAAGATCGCCACGGTCCACCTCCTCTCCCAGCGCCGCGTGGAGTCGTTCGCGCCTGTGCGGGCCGCCGAGGCGTCAGCGCTGGTCGCACGTACCCGCCGTGCCGCGGAGGCGGGGGAGGCCGTGGAGCTGAGGGAGCTCCTGTACGGCTACACCAAAGCGGTGGTCACCCGCGCGGCCACCGGTGCCGCCGGGGCAACAGCAGAGAGGCTGAAACAGCTGTTGGGGAACTCCGCGGCGCTGATGGTGGGCTTCCAACCGGAGGACGTGCTGCCGGACGCGCCGGCGAGGTTTGTGAGATGGGCGACGGGCCTTGATAAGAAGCTCGACGACATGGCCGAGGCGTGGGGCAAGTTCTTGGATGTCTTGCTTCGGCTGAGGGAAGAAGGCGCCGATGGGCTCGAGCTCACAGACGATCGCATCAAAGCTACCATCGAGGTTATCTTCGAGAAATTCTCTTCTAGTATCTCATCAAGAAATGTTTACTGCCAATAATCCAATACTGTTCCTCTCATCCGTGCTCGATTATTGCGTCTGCAGGACATGATAGCCGCTGCAACTGAAACATCATCTCAAACGCTGGAATGGACCATGGCAGAACTCATCGCCAACCCGCGGGTGCTGGGCAAGCTCCAAGACGAGATAGCGCGAGTCGTCAACGCCGACCAGCCGGCCATCTCTGAACCCGACCTGAGCAGAATGGAATATCTGAAGGCAGTGTTCAAAGAGGTGCTTCGGCTCCACGCACCAGCGCCGCTCCTCGTCCCGCACGAATCAACAACGCCTGCGGTCGTGCAGGGCTACGAGATCCCGGCCAAGACGTCGCTCTTCGTCAACGTGTGGGCCATCGGGCGGGACCCCGCTGTGTGGGACGCACCGGACGAGTTCCGCCCGGAGCGGTTCATGGGCGGCAGTCCCTCGGTGGACTTCAGAGGGACCGACTACCAGCTCATCCCGTTCGGCGCCGGCCGGAGGATCTGCCCCGGCGTCAACTTCGCGCTGCCGGTTTTGGAGCTCGCGCTCGTCAGCCTCCTGCGCCACTTCGAGTGGGCCCGCCGGCATGCGCCAGGCGGACCTCGACAAGGGCGAGGCGCCGGGGCTGACGACGCCACGGCCAGGTGTGTGTTGGGGCCCGCCGGGCTTACGACTCATGATTTTTTTACTAGAGCACGGTTATTTAGCCTTTAATTATTATTAACATTTAGCCCTAGTTCAAAATCTTCATTATTTAGGGGTTCCCCTCGTCCTGCTCCCCAGGTGCAGGACGCTCGTTCAGGCAGCGCTGCAGTAGCACAAGGAATTTGATGTGCCTCCATGGGTACCGAGGTTTGTCTATTGAGTAGCTGTGGATCAAGCAAAATTCAAGAAAACTGGTTAAAAAAAACAACACAAGAACACGTTTGACGGTTTGAGTGCTCCAGAATTGCAGAAAGAAATTGGTCTCTTGTTGGGCAGTCTTGGGCCAGAATAATGAGATGTCCATTAATGACAATTGGCCTGCACCATCATCTCAACTTATATATGTACCCTATATATTCTCAAAAATATATATATGTACCCTATATTTTCATGATTGTTGATATATAACATATATATTTATCGCCGCTTATGCCCGCAATTGTACTTGATTTGCATGGTTGTCTTGTATATTTACTTTAATTAGTTTTTAATATATTAATATTAGTAGAAGTGTGTAACATAGAAACATATATCTGTGTAATTTATACTTATTTAAATATTTGTTTGTGGTAGAAGATATTGGTAATTTATAAGTATATTTGAGAGGATGTTTTAGTTTTCTTAATAACTACATAAGTGGTAATTTTGAAGAAAATTTAAGAGGTCAAGTAGATTATCTATCATAATGACAGGGGGTAATTACATGTAAATTTGGGGTTGCTCTATATGATGTTTTGTAATAGCATAAATGGGTGATTTAGATACAAATTTTTGGGTTACTTTGTGTTCGCAATCACGGAGGCGGGTAATTATTTGGCGGTGGCAAACTCTAGAGACTTGGCAGTGGCGATGTTGCCGGTAATGGCATGACCAACTCAGATGGGTTGAGTCTGACCACATTGTTGGCAACAGTAGACTTGGCCTCATGACGAAGGTGGTGGCGAGGGCCAAGTGCCTTGCCGAGTCGGTGACGAGGTCCAACCTCATGAAGCGCATGTCTTGGCTAGGAACAAAGTTGATGAAGATCTATAGGGGCGTCAGGCAGAGCTTCTCGGAGCAGTTTCTCTTGAGAATTACACCTCGTTCAAACAGCAAAACTACACATAGGTTCTAGTAGGGAGGAGACAAGAATCACTTCTCCATTTACACTGGAAGTTGGGTCACTCTAGAATCAATTCTCACGTACTCCCCACTGTGCACCCTCACCAGAATCAAGTGGAATCACTCCAGTAGAGAATTAACGAGCAGAGCTAGAGAATCTAGGAGTGGAGCTCTGCCAAACATTCCCTACGTGTTATAGATGCACATATATGGATCAATCCCCAGCAGAATCACTCTAGAATCAATTTTCACCTGCTCCCCCACCAGAATCAAGGAGCATAGTTAGAGAAGAACTAGAAGTGGAGCTTTGCTAAACAAGCCCTATGTGATCGATGCACATGTATGGACTATGGATACTGTTATGAATCCACAACAGGTATCACGTGGGTATAGATGGTCAAATGGACAGACTAGGCCCATTTGAGGCATGTCCATGTTAGCTTATCGTGTCGTGCCGTGCCTGTCCATGGGTTGTGCCTTCGACCCAAGTACGACCCTACAGGGGTTTAGCCGGACCAACCTACCTTGACGCCAATACAAGTCCCCGCTTGATCCCCTATGCACCGACGTGTGAGTCGATCGAGGGCGTAGCGGTGCCACGCGATCTATTCGGGGCACGCCTCCCGAGCTAGTTGGGGCCGCGTCTCTCACGCCGCCGCCTCGTGAACTGGTCGGGGGGGGGGCGCCTCCCTCGCCGTTGCTCCGTGAGATGCTTGGGGTCATGCCCTACACCACTGTGTCGACACCGCCCCACTAGAGATGGGATGGGAGGGGAGCGGAGTAGATGCGTCGGCTGGGTGAAGGGGTGAAGGATGATGGGGCTAGGTTAGGATTTTGATTTGTTTATATATGGGATGTAGATGGTCGCAATGGGCTGCCTGCTAATCGTGCTGAGATGGACTAACACGATATGCGGAGAGAGCGTTATCGGGCCGGGCCAAACCATCGGGTCGTGGGCCGTGTTGACTGGGGTTGAGTCTTATCAGCCTGCTCGGTTGGCTGGTTCGTATCGTTGCTGGTTCGTGAAGAAGTACTGCTGGCTGGTTTGTGTGAGAGAAAAATACTGTTCCGACTGAAAATTTACGATCGTTTACGACAAGCCACAGCCAAACGAACAGGCTGTATGAGTGAGAGTGTGAGCTTTTCAGATTTTTTTTTAAAAAAATTCACGGTAACCTGCAACGAGACCAGGTGAATAAAAAAGTTCGATGCATGATCCATAAAACAAGTCTGAATGACTGAATCACCAACTCCTAAACCTGCAGCGAAGGTAGCTAAACTATCTGCAACCTGATTACAACATCTGTTACAAACCGAGACTAAACAAGTTCAAAACAAAGCGTGGGGATGCGGTAAACCGCACTTGCGCGGAGAGAAGATGAACGGGATCGGAAGAGGAAATACCGCTTCCACAGGGGTGCTACGTGTAAAATTACAACACGAGTGCCTTTAGGGCTCTTTTCCAGCCGTGTGATGCGGATCGATCGGTTTGTTGGGTGTATGCAACAAGGCGCAGAGCCGCGGTCCCACATGGCAGCCAGCACGGTTTTCTCCCTTCGATAGCTAATTTCGCCGTCGCCCGTCAGAGGTCAGACCGACACGGAGGTAGGAGAGGAGGGGAAAAGAGAGATGGTGGAGGCATCGCCGGAGTCCGGCGCCGCGGCGGCCGGAGGTGCGTCTGGTATGGCGCCGCCGCGGAAGGGGAAGTCGTGCAAGGGCTGTCTCTACTATTCGTCAGTGCTCAAGTCCCGCGGTTACAACCCAATCTGCGTTGGGATCCCCCGCTCCATCCCCCAAGGTCACAAACCCTAACCCGATACGCCGGAACTCTGCAATCTGTTTGATTGATATTTGCGTCCCAATCCAAAATTTGTCTACTTTTGGATGCGAATTTGTTTCTTTGAAAGTTGAAAGAAAAAAAATCTGACTTGAATTACGCCTGATCCGAAGATCTCACGAGGTTATTGATGATTTGGTGTGTTAGTTCCTAACTTCGTGGTGGATGAGCCTAAGGAGGAGGCGACGGCGCAGGGGCATGATCTCAGGCGGTTCAGGTACGGGTGCGCGGGTTACTCCATGTTCGTGGACAACAGGGACGGCCAGGGTGGTGAGAGCGAGGGCAAGACGTTGCTGCCGTATTGCAGGGGCCTCGAGGTTGGTTTTCCTCTCCTTTTTACAGTCTGAGAATCTCTGAACTTAGCAGCTTTCCTTTTTTTTTTCCAGTGGCCCAATGCAGCTGCCAGCATGTGTATCTGATTTGTTTGTATTAAATTTCATATCTTCGAAACATAACACGGTATATATGTACTGAGTGATTAGAACATAGTACAGGGCCACGATTTTTTTCTCCAGATTTTGATCTAGCAGATAGTCTTTCATACTGAAATCATGGGCTAACCAATGAGTATTTCTCTGCATCCTTCTCTTAATGCAAGATTTGTTGATATTCCGACAAATCAGCAATCCAAATGTCTCAAGTAGGAACAGAATTTACAGTTTAGAAAGATTTATGAGCTCTAATTCCAAAATTAACTACATGGATGCATGATAATGCTAGTGCATATACAACCTTACAAGGAGATACAGATTTACTGTTGCCCTTATATTTGCTATTCCTTCTGAAAGTGTCCTTTTCCGTACCGCCGGTAACCGTTTTATATTGACCTTTTTATTGAATCTTGATCTCCTTTTGAGTGTTTTTTTTTCTGCCTACCACCAGCATCATACGAAGAACACCCAATCTGACCTAACCCTGTAATATGATCTCACCTTTTGACTGCCTCATGCACTACAAAGAATCACTGTTTTGATTCCTAATCACCCTGAAAAGATTCTTGCATTTTGTGGGTGTGATATTCATCAGCACATATGACTTCTGTGAATCCTTTACCTCAACCCCACTGAATACGAATGAACTCTAACATAAAAAAAAACTCCATATGCTTTGCTGTGAGATTATGTTTTTGAGTATGATATGCTCTTTGAATATGAATGAACTTTCTACCTCTTAATACATGTAACTTCTAGGATTCACTAATAGGCATACCATACATTTTCTATTTGTTGAAGCTTCTCATAGGATAAGCTTATGTGCACAGTCCTAACAGGAGTGTGAAATGTCCCTGCAGTTATTGGTGGACAGCAGATTGGTCGAGCAAAAACCATCGACAGCTGAACAAGCTCCAGTGCATGTTGCAAAGGATGGTATGTGAAGTTTTCTGTTGATTCCCCAGTCCCCGCACAGAGCGGGAGCTCTCTGCACTGGGTATGTCCTTTTTTTTTATATCTAGTGGTTCATCCTCTTCTAATTTCATCCCCGGTGACCCTACGTTAAAGATGGAATGATTTGTTCCTACTGAGCACATTAGGTTCGACATGGACTATACTTTGAACAAAAGTCAGCTGCAGTGTTATATCCAAATATGGTATAGTACGTAGGATCATTTTGTTTCATTTGATAAATGCAGACAGGAACTGACTGTATTACTACTATACTATTATGCCATGTTGTTATGATGTTTAGTCAAAATGATCTATCATCCTGAAAGTTTTGGTTTTATTTTTATTTTCTGGTCTTTTGTTTTTCTTGCTCTCAGCGAACTGTTTCTGGAGTTGATCTTTTGTTTGGAGACTGAACTTATCCTAGTAATGTCTTCATGTTTCTTTTAGCAGCAGCTACCACCCGCTCTCACCAACAAGGACAACAGAGACCTGCAAACTTGTCGAGGCAGGAATTCTTGGAAAGGAAAGTTACTGTTCATATCTCTTCTTGGTCCCCAGCTCCCACTTCGATATATTGCCTTGCTGATTTTTATGGATGTTGCAGGTTTAAGAGGAGTGCTGGACTGGTCGCTTCAGGTGTTGCAAAGAATCTAAACAAAACAGCCCATTATATCAAGGAAAATATTCAGGACATATTGTACCCTGATCGTCGCCCACCAAAGTAGTAGCCATGCCGAGGGACGGAGGGATCATCTAGCTCAGGTTGAGAGCTGAAGAAATGGCTTGCTGCTGGAAACCTTACATACGGACTACCTGAGTCGATCCATCGATCTTATAGTCTCAGTAAGAAGCAGCTCCAGTTTCGTCACTGATTTTTAAAAATGGAGCCTTTCTGGGATACCAACTTTCTTTGCTTTACTTGCATAATCTTGTAATTTACGGCTGCATATTTACATGCAAATAACTTGCTGCTTGTTTGAAGCGAAAATCAGATTTCGTTTGGTGTATTGATGAATAATGTCAACAAGTCACAGTGCAGTTCAAAGGGGTGAAAGATTTTTCATTCTCCTGTTGCTAACCGGAAGGCGATGATATTTCCTCGTCGTCACTTAAACGACACTTTTTTCTTTCAAAATTTCACATTCAGAGTCACATCTCATGTTCAGAATTGCAAATGGTAATCGCCTTACTGAAAGGTTGGAGATAAATCTTGTTCACTAGGTTCGAAATGAATATAGATTAGTCGTTCATTGCTTTAGGACGTGTTTGTTTATCTCTCAGCTTATATAATCCAGCTTATAAGATGCGGAAGATAAGCTACTAGAAGTTTTGTAGCTTTAGGAACAAAAGCTGGGGCTTTCGGATACAAGCTTATAGATTGGGTGTTTGTTGAACACACGATGGATTATAAGAAAGTTTATATAAGCAGGAGGGTAAACAATCAGTACATGTGCTCTTACTCCTTATTACCAGATACGAGATATGGGTGTCATGTAAAAATAGAAGAACTCAGCCAGGTAGGTATGTTCAGAATACATAGAACTAGATATTAGTCCACTACTTATTAGAACTAATCCATGGGCTCCTTTTAGGGTATGTTCAGATTGCATAGAACTAGATATTAGTCCACTCGTTTTCAGAACTAATTCGTGTTAATTAGTGAACTAGTAAGGGTAGTTACGGTCCAGAAACTATGAAATGGTCTCCAAGTAGACATAACAGATAGAAACGACATTCATGATGGATAGTTTCTTCAAAATTAAATTTTGCATAATCAAATGTCTTCTCTTTTATATCATCTATCAATTACATCCCTTCATATCTTTACTCATGCAGACATAGTTTTCTATATAAAAAAACGTTTTATTTTCTCTCTTCATTAACTACAACGCCATATTATCATTTCGCTTAGAACAACTCCAAGAGACTTTTTATATCCTACCTCATTTATAGGAATAGAGATTTTGATGAAACAAAAATACTCTCCAACCATATCTTTAAATGGATCGCCAACTATAGACATCCTATGTTCCGAGTACTCGCTATCTGAAGATGGATAGCAAGGATGGATCTCTAGAGTGCACACAAGATATATGAAAGTTGTTGGAGGATACAAAGGTATACGGTAGGATCTCTGGTACGTCTAGAGGGGGGTGAATAGGCCTGTAAAAATTCAACTCAAACCGAAATCAAATTCACCCGCGGCACTGCCGCTCTATGAACGTGGCACTGCCGCACCAAACAGCGGCACTACCGCACCTGCAGGAGAGATTAGTTCACAATTTAAAATCTACCCAACGAAATTTAGATCGGGTAAATTTCTTAGCTTCCTGCAGGGTAGTAGATCACACATCGACAGCTGAAAGTGGTGGGAACACCACACAAAGTAGATTGGCCTCAAACCCTAAAAATCGCCTCAACAACAACAAGAACATAAGTGTAGCAACACAAGCACAAGATGACACAAGGATTTTATCTCATGGTTCAGCTCGCCACCAAGGCTTGCCTAAGTCCACGTTATTGAGGTATACCACTAAGGGTTAGGGCTTTGCAACCCTACCTCGTTTTCAAGTCAAGAGAGTGAACTCTTGAGATGAGGGGTGATTTTACTCGCTGTAAGAGGTGATTACAAACCTCTCGGTGCTGCCACAAACTTGGCAAGCTCACCGGGTGATGCTCTAGCCGGCTAGGAGCCAAGCTCCAAGAGTAACAAACACAATCGCCAGTCAAAACGTGAACCAAATGCTCTTTAGACTTTGGGAATCAGTGGAGCTGCTCTCTATCGAGTTTTGGACCCTTTTTCCTCAAGGATTGATGGGGAAATCAATGTATTTGCTTGAGGGCTCAAGTTCAACAATGGAGGGAGAGAGAGAGAGAGAGCTCTTGCTCAGTTTTGAACGTGCTGAACTGAGGAAGAAGAGGAAGATCTTCGTAAGGAAGGGAAAAGGTATATATGTACCCCCAGCCCTCAACGGTCACTTAAATCACTGATAGTTGTTGGGGAGGAAAGGGAAAGGTATATATATACCCTAGCCCACAATGGTCATTGCACCCAAGGGGTCGGACGAGACGAAGCCCGCGGCCTCGAGGTCGGGCGAGACGTAGACCACGACCAAGGGGTCGGGTGAGACGGAGCCCGCACCCAAGGGGTTGGGCGAGACCTTTTAATACGTCTCGAGCCATCCGAGGAAGTCAGCGTGGGTGCTAACTTCCTTGTGCCGCAACTCAAGTGTGGCAGTGCCTCTCTTTAAGTGCGGTAGTGCCGCACCACGCAAGATAGCAAGGGTAATAGTGAAGTGTAGACTGTCTTGGCTGTGAATCTGAGGATGCATGTGGTTGTTTGAGCACTTGGTAGCATATATTAGCTTAAGCATTGTGTCTCACTTTATAGTACGACTTTTCCTATACTCAAATTCAAAATATAAAAGAATTTAAATCTTCTTTGAGTTTGAAACCATCTACATTTGTAATTGGGGGCTCCTCCGTTTCGTGTAGCATCCTCGAATATAAATTTCCTGCTTGTCATCTCGATAAATCTCATTGGTTCTCTAATTGCGTGGTCATTATCACTAAAACCTACAATTAGGGCTTGATTGCACTCTCAATCTCCCCCTTTTTGGTGATTGATGACAACCCCATTAGAGCTTACAAAAGATATAAAATAAATATTAAGATTTTCGAGCCATGGGTGTAGAGCCTCCCCCTAAGTATGTGAATAGAGAATTGAATTCTTAAATTGACATAAGACGCCAAGATTCACATTTTAGTGAAAGTGATGGGGCTCCCCCTACATCCATGCTCCTGTGGAGTGCTGCATACTGTGTCAGGTATGTAAAATATGATACAAATGATAGTTTATGCACAATATGGTTTGCTGATGCAGCTGGGTGCGGTACTGCCGCACTATCATAATAGACACCACACAACATGTGATACATATAAGGATATACATTCTAACACAATTGTATCACAAGCGACATCATAGATTAATATATGTCCATATCCCATACATATAAAAAGTACTTAAGTAGCATAACGGACTCTCAAACTCTCACCTAATGAAGACTACTCTAAACGGATACGAACATGACTCTAGCTGCAACAACCTCCATGGCGTCAAAAAAGTTGTTGATGACCCCTCTAATTTTCTCCCCCTTTGGCATAAATGACCAAAAAGAGAAGAAAAAGAAGAAAGAACAACACCTACTCATCATCTCCCTAGATATCCGTCCAATCAATATCATCACCTCCTGTAGCCCTAGCACCTCCTGCAGCCCTAGCACCTCCTGCAGTAGTCCCGGCACCACCGTCACCAAGATCGTCGTCGGAGTCAATACGTGCATGGCCCTGACAGTGAGTAGTGGCGGTGTAACGAGTGGAACACCTCGGCTCTTGTCTCTAACGATATCCCTCTAGGGTCTCATCCCAATCTGTTGCTCGTCCCTGCTGCTCCTCATATCTTCTGAATCTGTGTCGAAATGACTCGAAAGGTCATACTACGGAGGAGGTGGAATAGGAGGAAGTGGTGGAAGGTCCTATCCATGCTGCTGACGCTGCTCAAGCTATGTCTCATACGCAGAAGCCAACTCATCGCCGGCGATCTTCGGTTCGCTTCCAGGCGCGGTCGTGGCCGTTTTTGGCGTCGCGCTGGCGCGGTGAAGGCCACAGCGCAGCTTCCTTGAGCTTCTGAGCCGTGTTATTTGGGCCGAGGCGCCGTCGTCGTCGTTCTTTCCTCTCCTCTATTTTTCTCCCGCCGCCACCGCCATTCTCCGTTGAGCCCTCGCCGTCGAACCAACGTCTGCGCCATCGCAGCGATGCGTGTCCCAGCTCCGCTAGTTCCTTGCGCACCTAGCCAGCTAGCTCTAGTCGCTTGATTTCGCCGTGAACTCACCGTTCATCGTTTTCTTCCTCGCGGCCGGCAGCACCACCGTGGTGTGCGCGTCGCCGTGGCTAGCGCGTTACGATGAGCCTCTGCTATTTCTAACTCTTGCTTCAGCTTCGCCTCGATGCCGTGGTGCTTTGTGCCCGGTTGATTGACCATTTCCTCCACCGCCGTCGTCGGAGCATTGCCATCGTCGAAATTTGCTCCGCCGTGACACTGTGACCGTTGAGCCGTGTCTCCGTTGCTTCTCAGGCTCGGTCAGCAACTACAGTGTGTTTGGGGTGAGCTCCTGGTTCTACCCATGTTGTTTGTTTCATCATTACCGAGCTCCTATCGCCGGCGTAGCGCTGCCGCACCACCGCGTCCGCTATGGCCGCCGTCGAGCTAGTATAGGGCCGTAATCAGTACAGATAGGGACGTCAATCGATGCGCCTAGTCTTGGTGATCGTTTTGGTACCTTGGTCGTCGCCGTTGGACTCACCGTCGGTGAGGAATCGCCGGTCAGAGCCGTCGCTGCCGTGGTCAACGTCGGAGGTTGAAGATGACAAGTGGGACCCGGTTGTCAGTGACTCAACGTTCAAAATGAATTTTCTGTTTTTCAGATTTAAATGAATAGTGTCTGTTTTTGTTATTTTTGTGTAGATTTATTTAGAGCTCCAAAAATTATGAAAATTTTTGTGTGACTTATCTGTGATATGTATTATTTAGGAAAAATATAAAATGTTGATTTTCAGTACTTTTTGAATGTGATAAAAATTGCTCAATTAATTAATAAATGAGTTTCTAGGATTTTTCTAGACTTATTTATGTATCCAAAAATTATGAAAATTGTTTTGTCACTTA